AAAATATTTGAATATTAAGTAAAATTAAGTTAAGAAATTGTCAATGAACTACTGCAGTGATGGTTACTTTTGGTGTAGTAATATTTTGTAGGTTGTTTTGATGGTTTATTTTATTTATAAAGACGTTTGCTTGTCTTGTCGCTGCATAATGAAGTACACAATGAAAATCTTTCAAACTATGTATGAGTAGATTTATATTCTATACATGAGTCACTTGCTACGACATTTTTTAATTTGATAATTTGGGAGCATTTCAAATATATTTTATGTAATTGAGACCTTTACTTGTAATTGCATTCGAGTGTAGGGTATTAATATTTCAAAAGTGTTTAAACGTGTGCTATAAGAACGAACGAACTTAAACAAAAAAAAATAAATGTTTTTATATCCGTCATAATATACAGATGTTTTCTCTCTTATAAACGAGTACCAAGTTTTCAGTATACACTCCAAGTATTTGGAATAAAAATACAATTTTTAACCATTTTTTGATGTTTTTACCAATAAATGTATGGAATTTCGAAAAAAGCTGTGTTACAAAAATTCGCATTGCAACTTAAATGAAAGGTTTTCTAAATTTTTTTTACTAGCGTCAGGAAGGAAAAACTTCACTAGACTATAAGCCAGACCATATAATACACTAGACTAAACTATAGACCAGTCTAAAGACTAGACTATAGACTAGACTATAGACTAGACTATAGACTAGACTATAGACTAGACTATAGACTAGACTATAGACTAGACTATAGACTAGACTATAGACTAGACTATAGACTAGACTATAGACTAGACTATAGACTAGACTAGACTAGACTTAGACTAGACTATAGACTAGACTATAGACTAGACTATAGACTAGACTATAGACTAGACTATAGACTAGACTATAGAATAGACTAGACTATAGACTAGACTATAGACTAGACTATAGACTAGACTATAGACTAGACTATAGACTAGACTATAGACTAGACTATAGACTAGACTATAGACTAGACTATAGACTAGGCTATAGACTAGACTATAGACTAGGCTATAGACTAGACTATAGACTAGGCTATAGACTAGACTATAGACTAGGCTATAGACTAGACTATAGACTAGACTATAGACTGGACTAGACTATAGACTAGACTATAGACTAGACTATAGACTAGACTTTAGACTAGACTATAGACTAGACTATAGACTAGACTATAGACTAGACTATAGACTAGACTATAGACTAGACTATAGACTGGACTAGACTATAGACTGGACTAGACTATAGACTGGACTAGACTATAGACTAGACTATAGACTAGACTATAGACTAGACTAGACTATAGACTAGACTATAGACTAGACTATAGACTAGACTATAGACTAGACTATAGACTAGACTATAGACTGGACTAGACTATAGACTAGACTATAGACTAGACTATAGACTAGACTATAGACTAGACTATAGACTAGACTATAGACTAGACTATAGACTAGACTATAGACTGGACTAGACTATAGACTGGACTAGACTATAGACTAGACTATAGACTAGACTATAGACTAGACTAGACTATAGACTAGACTATAGACTAGACTATAGACTAGACTATAGACTAGACTATAGACTAGACTATAGACTAGACTATAGACTGGACTAGACTATAGACTAGACTATAGACTAGACTATAGACTAGACTATAGACTAGACTATAGACTAGACTATAGACTAGACTATAGACTAGACTATAGACTAGACTATAGACTAGACTATAGACTAGACTATAGACTAGACTATAGACTAGACTATAGACTAGACTATAGACTAGACTATAGACTAGACTATAGACTAGACTATAGACTAGACTATAGACTAGACTATAGACTAGACTATAGACTAGACTATAGACTAGACTATAGACTAGACTATAGACTAGACTATAGACTAGACTATAGACTAGACTATAGACTAGACTATAGACTAGACTATAGACTAGACTATAGACTAGACTATAGACTAGACTATAGACTAGACTATAGACTAGACTATAGACTAGACTATAGACTAGACTATAGACTAGACTATAGACTAGACTATAGATTAGACTATAGACTAGACTATAGACTAGACTATAGACTAGACTATAGACTGGACTAGACTATAGACTGGACTAGACTATAGACTAGACTATAGACTAGACTAGACTATAGACTAGACTATAGACTAGACTATAGACTAGACTATAGACTAGACTATAGGGACTAGACTATAGACTGGACTAGACTATAGACTGGACTAGACTATAGACTAGACTATAGACTAGACTATAGACTAGACTATAGACTAGACTATAGACTAGACTATAGACTAGACTATAGACTAGACTATAGACTAGACTATAGACTATAGACCAGACTATAGACGAGACTATAGACTAGGACTCTAGACTAAGACTATAGACTAGACTATAGACTAGACTATAGACTAGGACTATAGACCTAGGACTAATAGACTAGACTATAACTAGACTATAGACTAGACTATAGACCTAGACTATAGACTAGACTATAGACTCGACTATAGACTAGACTATAGACTAGACGTATAGACTAGGACTATAGACTAGGACTATAGACTAGACTATAGACTAGACTATAGACTAGACTATAGACTAGACTATAGGACTAGGACTATAGACTAGACTATAGGGACTAGACTATAGACTAGACTATAGACTAGAACTATAGACTAGACTATAGACTAGACTATAGACTAGACTATAGACTAGACTATAGACTAGACTTAGACCTAGACTATAGACTAGACTATAGACTAGACTATAGCACTAGACTATGACTAGACTATAGACCTAGACCTATAGACTAGAAGCTATAGACCTAGACTATAGACTAGACTATAGACTATGACTATAGACTAGACTATAGACTAGACTATAAGGACTAGACGGATAGATAGACTATAGACTAGACTATAGACTAGACTAACTAGACTAGACTATAGACTAGACTATAGACTAGACTATAGACTAGACTATAGACTAGACTATAGACTAGACTATAGACTAGACTATAGACTAGACTATAGACTAGACATAGACTAGACTATAGACTAGACTACTAAGACTAGACTATAGACTCGACTATAGACTAGACTATAGACATATAGACTACTAGACTAGACTATAGACTAGACTATAGACTAGACTATAGACTAGACTATAGACTAGACTAGACGACGTAGACTAGACTATAGACTAGACTATAGACTAGGACTATAGACCTAGAACTATAGACTAGACTATAGACTAGACTATAGACTAGACTATAGACTAGACTATAGACTAGACTATAGACTAGACTATAGACTAGACTATAGACTAGACTATAGACTAGACTATAGACTAGACTATAGACTAGACTAAGCTAGACTATAGACTAGACTATAGACTAGACTATAGACTAGACTATAGACTAGACTATAGACTAGACATATGACTAGACTATAGACTAGACTATAGACTAGACTATAGACTAGACTATAGACTAGACTATAGACTAGACTATAGACTAGACTATAGACTGGACTAGACTATAGACTGGACTAGACTATAGAGACTAGACTATAGACTGGACTAGACTATAGACTAGACTATAGACTAGACTAGACTATAGACTAGACTATAGACTAGACTATAGACTAGACTATAGACTAGACTATAGACTAGACTATAGACTAGACTATAGACTAGACTATAGACTAGACTATAGACTAGACTATAGACTAGACTATAGACTAGACTATAGACTAGACTATAGACTAGACTATAGACTAGACTATAGACTAGACTATAGACTAGACTATAGACTAGACTATAGACTAGACTATAGACTAGACTATAGACTAGACTATAGACTAGACTATAGACTAGACTATAGACTAGACTATAGACTAGACTATAGACTAGACTATAGACTAGACTATAGACTAGTCTATAGACTGAGCTTGACTATAGGTTACACTATAATCTAGACTATAGACTAAACTACTATAAACTAGGTTATAGACTACAGACTGAATACTATGTTGACTACTTATCAAAAGTTTATTAATTAGAAAAAGTACAGAATATGCTGTAGATGTACCGCGGTATTTTTCGAAATAAAAAAGTACTGAAAAAAATACTAAAGTACCAAATTTTCCATGAATGACTAGCGTACAATGTTTTGCCCATTTTTCGTTCGTACTAAGAAATTTCGTTTTAATTTTATTTCTCCTATGAAATAAATCGAAATAATATAATAGCCCAGGAAAAAATCCTAAATTTTTCACTTTTTTTTAATTTTTTGACATACATATGTGGATATGCAAAAAAAATCATCAACATTTATACAAAATTCTCCTTATTCAAATGCTCCTGAGAGTATATTGTGAATTCGCATCAAAATTCTGCGTTTTTTTTTTTTTTTTTGGAAAATAAGTATCATGCAATTTTTATGCGTGAATATTTGCGTAAATTTAACATATAGTTGCGAGCTAAACAAAAAAAAAAAGAACAGAACAGAAGAAGAATAAAAAGGAGCAACGCTAAAAACGAGTAAATAAATTGAACAAATCAAGCATAAAACTGAAATGCTAAACAAAAATACTCACAGATCCAAATAAACAAACACACACACTCAAATACATACAAACAACAAGTACTTGAATATAAAATGGTAAAATAAGTTTCCACAGTCGTACAGAAGAAAATACTCAAAATTTTGTATACTCTATGTTACGATACTTGTAAATTGTGTATGCTTGGCTAACAAGGAGAAAGATTTGGTTGGGGTACACTTTTTGGATGGTAAAAGTACTTTGATAATAACTACTTTTATAATAACTATTTAGAATCACAAGGTTTTGAAAAGATCTAAATATAAATTGACCAAAAATATTATACATTGATCATATTTAAAATACCACATTTTTTATTCCTATTTCATTTCAGAAAAATTGGGAAAAATAAAATATAATTTAGACGTGAAGCAGCCATCATTATTGCCTATAAATGACTCAATATGCAGTAAAATGGACCTGTTTGAAATATACTCGAGTCAACCGTAGACACCACAAAATTAGCTTTCAATAAAACAGATTTCATTGTACATGTATGTATTTATAAAAAATTAATAGTTTATATTAAACTGCTACAAAACGAACTATTGTTTTATTCTAAATAAGAAATTTTTATAAAATAAGTTCTTACTCAATAAAATTTATTTAGTTATTCAGATTTTACCTAGATTTTACCTAAAATATTATAATTTTTCCTTAACACCATTCATTAATTTTTTTTCTATTCATTGCATAAAAAATACCCTTAATTTACTTACAAACAAATTTACTTTAAAAATCGTTTGCGTATGATTAATATTTATTTCTCAGTTGCTGACGTCACTCAAAAAATTTGTTGTACATTTATAATTTCTTCTTAATACTAGGGCGCACATAAATTTTAAAAATGTAGCAGACTGCAATTAATTTTATTTACAAAATATTTTTGCAGCATACTTTGAGGCACTTATAAGTATTTGAATCAGCCTGTAGGTGAAAATTAACACAAGCTAAGACAAATATTTTTCACATTTATGGCAAAAAATATTTACAGTACCCCGTCTCTGTATTTTTCTGTAACGAGAAAAATTGTTGATGATCTCTATATTCATATATAAACCGATCTGTGGAAGTTAAAGCTGAATAAAGGTTTGGAACAACATTTGAAACCAATCCGATTATATTTCATTTATTTTTAGGTGCTGAAGCCGAAAATGGTATTTAATATTGAGTTCATATATTAGGGAAACTTTATTTGTAAAAATATATTTACGTTTAAGGGTTAAAATCGATTTTTTCGTTGTTATTAGAAACATGGGTCTTTATTATATTAATGTTCTCAAATTTTATGGAAATCGGTTCATAACTAAATAATATTTCATTACGATTACAAGAAAGGTTTCCTATATCGCATAACTTCACTTTGACCTTCACAGTTTATGGGTTAGTATTATACGATTTTACTATAATTTCAGATATATGAGAGAAACTTAAAATCGGTTGAGTTTCAACTAAGTTACTGACTCATAAGTGCTTAAAGGTACGAAAACCCGGGTTTTTACCCTATCTCAAGATTTTGTAGGTGTTTGGCCAATTTCAAAAGCAGATTCTTGTTCTAATCGGATCTATCTTTTAGAAAAATAGTATCATTTCCCAGTTATTTATTTTTGTCGCATAATGTAATTGAAGGGAAATATTTTCATTTAGATTTAATTTCGAAATGTTTATGGATAAGGCTGTATTAATGGAATCATGTATGAAATTTATGCATAGATTTAGGTCTTAATGGTTCGATTCCTATATGACTAATATTTAGTGTTAAATTTCAATAGGTACCAAAAACTGCGTTGGTACTATATTCTGTCATCTCTGACATTCTATATACATATGTATGAACTTATGTGTGTAGGTTTATACATATGAGTGTTTGCATGTATGTAAGTACTTTGAGTAATGAAAGTGGTATTATTCATTGAATAAAAATAAAGTACATTTTTCCGCTAAAAATAAGAATATGTATGGAGAATATGAAAACGACTATAAAGACAGCAACAGCAGTGTATATGTATTACCATACAACCATACAAAAAATATTTATTGTACGAATATATATTTTTACTTATAAATATGTAGATTCTAAATAAAAATCCCTTTTATGTTACAATTTAGTTGATGTTGCTTTTGTTGTTGTTGGAATTGTATAAAGATTTGAATATTAAATCAATTGATTGAATTTGATTTAATAGACCATTTTATATCAATGTATAAAAATGGCACAATACATACATACATACTACATAAGAAAAATCAAGAATGATCAGCGAAAATAAATGTTTTGTTGGAATAGGACAGAGAAGGATAATACAGTTGAAAATAAGGAATAATGTTAAGGTTTTCTTTTACTAAGCAAATTTGGTTTAGAAAATCAGCCACACATATTTATTAATACATACACATATGTATGTATGTATAACATATTTTATAACCATCATAAAACGATGGATTATGCCATTCCATTTGTAACACAGAACGGCGGTAGACCTAGAAATGTTGGGGCCGAATCAGTAGGAGCTAAATGCAATTTCTTCTTCTGTCCGTCTGTGGGTCTGCTGACCCCAGATATCTTCGGGATCCAAATCTTTAATAATTCTGTCAGAAATGCTTTCGAGAAGTCTCCATTTTAAAATGAGCTAAATTCATAAAAACAACTCAGCATACTACGGCTAAAAAGTGAGCAACTTTCCAAAATTCACTTAAAATTTTGAATATGGGTGTTTAATATCAATATTATCAAAAAAAAAAAAAAAAAAAACAAATAAATATGCAATAAATGTGTCTTCATTTTAAAACTTTACAACCTATCTTTGACCTTTTTGCTACTACGACTTAATATAACATTTCATTTATTTAAATACATATGTATGTACTATATAACCTTTTTGACATTTGGCAATTTCTTTAAGTTACAATTACACATTTTTTGTATTATTTTAAATTTTTTTTTTTTGTGTGTTGACCCCAATTGTTTATTGCGTACCGGAAATGCATCAAAACTTTATGTTTTCTTTATGCAGTTTGTATTGTATGCAACTGAAACTTCTGTTTTATTTCTTAAGAATTTTAATTTTAAATTACAGAAAATGGACTTTTTTATTCTTCTTGTCATTGTCCTTTTGTATTTTTAATTACTTGTTGTTAGCAAAGCTATTGTTCTATAGTGTTTTATTTTCTACAATTGTTCCATTGTTGTAAAGTGTGCAGTGAGTACAAGTGTTAGAATGTGAAAGAAGGTGGAAAAAGTAAAAAAAAAAATAAAATTTGCAACTTGTTTGCAAAATGTCAAAGTACTATGACAAAAATGCTATTTATATTTGGGGCGAATTAAACTAATGTGATATCAATGTTTAGTAATTAAATTTTTAATTTTATTTTTTATAATAAAATATTTTTATGTTGAATTTAATCTTAATCCTGATTTAAGTAATTCATTAATGAACATGATTATATGGGGTTAAATATAGAACGACCATCATAAAATTTTGTGGAGAGATTTATTTATATATTAATTTATATGTTCCGAATTCCAGCTATCATTTATAAGTGAACTATGGACGATCGAGTCATTTTCTGAAGGGGAATTTATGTGGTGTCTATGTTTAAATAAAAATCGATTAATACGAAAATCGCCAATACCATTTAGTGTTATAAAAAATATGGTTGTGGCTACTTTAATAGAGATACTTTTTAAATATTAGTTCAAAAGCCTTATTCGGTGAACCAGGGGCTATATGAACACAAGTAAGAATATATAGTCGGACATGGCCGACCACAGGATAACCTCACCAGTGAGTATGTAATAATTTCCTTAATTGCGAAATATTTTAACAATTTGTTACCAAAAAAGTGATTTTCTGGAAGAGGTTTTATATCCGGGCAAAGGTAAATATTGTCCTATTCGTATAAATTTTGGTAGAACGATTTACGATGACATTAAAGTTATTAATGCAGAATTTCAAAGTGATACTTTCCACATTCAAGTTATTTTCTGAAGGGGACTTTGTATGGGGGCTAAGGTCAAATGAGGCCCGAAAATCGGCAGTATAATTTAAACTTATATAAAATTAAGATTTGCCGATTTTTGTAGAGATTCTACAAGATTTAACATAATTATAAGCTCAAAATCCCTATTTGGGGGACGATTGTATGGAGGTTAGGCGAAATAAGGACACATTTCAACCAATTTCAATAGACTTCGTCCTTGGGTGAAAAGAAGAGTATGTGCCAAATTTCATCTAATTATCTTGAAAATTGTGACCTGTAGTGTGTGCACATGGACACACAGACGGACAGACGGGCAGAACTTAATCGACTCATAAAGAGATTCTGAGCCGTTTGGTATACTTTAGTTGTGTACGGTATAAAAATGGATCGAAGGAAAGACGTACGCAGATAACTTAGTCAAATCATTAACAAAATATTTTTGGGAGTTACAAAAATCCACACAAACGCATAATACAACAGCCCTCTCCCCTATGGGGAGTATAAGAAACTAACTAAAAGTTAAAACAAGTAAGAAAGTATAGTCGGGCGTGACCGACCATATAATACTCTACACCAGTTATGAATACTCAATATAATACCCTACACCAGTTATGAATACTCAATATAATACCCTACACCAGTTATGAATACAAATGAGCTCAGAAGACCTTTTCGGGGGGGTTCTGTTGTATGGGGGCTAGGTGAAATAATGGACCGATTTCAACCATTTTCAATAGGCTTCGTCCCACACCGAAAAAACAGTGTGTGCCAAATTTCATCCAATTATCTTGAAAATTGCCTTGCGCACAATGTTTACTTGGACAGCCAGACGGACGGACAGACAGACTGGCATAGCTTAATCTACTCAGAAAACGATTCTAAGTCGACTGATATACTTTAAGGTGGGTATAGGACGAATATTTTTGAATGTTACACACATCAGCACAAACCCAATATACCCTCCCCACTAAAGTGGTGTTGGGTATAAAGGCCCTTACAAAGAAATTACAATCAATAGTATTGATTTCATTCTGCAATATTTCAACATTCAATTATCTATTATTTTCATTTATCTCAATCAAAAAAACTCTACAGGGTGATATAATTGCAAGTATCTCATTCTAAAACATCTGTTGTTTGTCACTGAGGATTTTTTTTAAATGAAACTTGGAATTTCAGAAATCATCAATAAAATTTTGGAACATTGGATTGAAAGGACAAGCGTATTCTAAAACTAATATTTGTCTTTTCTAATAAATTAAGTTTAATTCAATTTATTTGATTTTCAAAAAGTAACTTATATTTTGACCACCCTTTACTTGGCAAACAAAGGAGCAGGGATGGCAAAATTGGTATACAGTGGACGTCCACTAGTACGAATTATATAGTGTCAGGCCCTTTCGTAATACCGAAAAATTCGTATTATTGAACAACACATTTTGTATGTTTAAATTCAAATAATACACATAAAATATTGGATTTTATTTATTTTTGTTTTATTTTTCATGAAAAA